TTTCTCTCTCTCTCCACCCCCTCTATCCTCCTTCTCCTCCGCCCACGCTGGAGCACGTGCTGCGCCCGCACTACCTCACGCCGAAGGAGAGATAAATATTTCAACGTCTCTGCGGAGCATATCATGTCGATGCAATAAAAAATGGGTGCTTGTCGGGTCGGGATCAAGTTTGGTTTCTTTATTACGACGGCATATTATTGTTGTTAACAGATTGCTGACACGTATGCACTCTTCTACTCTACATTTTAAACATACACATTGCATCGTACTTTGTATTATGTTCTCAATCTTGGATAGCTTTCTTGCGTCCATGGCCTGCCGTAAGGCATAGCGGCCAGATGCCGAAAATACTGAGTGTGGCAAGTTGTGGTTCTTAATCTTAAGGTTTCCTAAGCAGGTGTTTCATGAAAAACTTTGTTCGGCACACGGAAAACAATAACATCTATGATAAAACTCCATTACTGTGACAAAAAACAAGCATCAATGAATTTAAACAGCTATTTAGACAATTCGTTCAATTCTGAAGAATACAATGTGATTTAAGTTCTATAAATGATTATTTTTCTTGTGCTGTTTTTAATCTCTTTAGGCTGCAGCTGCTGCTGTGCTGGATTATTTCCCGGTCAGCTCCCTGAAGACCGCGAGGCCGTCCATCTCGATATCCTCGAAGCCGGGAATGTCGCTCTTGCAAGTTTCGAGCCAACGTGTGATGTTGGGGTACGGCTCCAAGCTGTACCCAAACGCCGTCTGTCGAGGGCAGATAATGGCGTTTTTTAGTTGCCGAGCAAAGTGGCGGTGGGAATAGGTGACGTCCGCGCCAGAGGGTGGCGCTGCGGGGTGGGCCGCGGCAAGCAGGAGGCGCGCCGGGGTAGCGCCCGCTGGGGGTAGCGCTCACTAGGGGGTGGCGGCCCCCAGCCGTGAGGAGTATATACACCCACCTCGGTCTGGTTCACGGTCACGGCGAGAGCCAGGTCGGCCAGCGTCATGTTGTCGCCCGCAACCCAGTCGCTGGACTCGAGGTACTTGTCCAGGAAGCCGAAGGCGTCGTGCACTGCCTGCAACTTGGACTCGTCCTTCTCGCCCCCAAGGAAGATCCAGGCGAACTGTAGGAAGGATCACATCATCAGCATCTGATTCTCTCCTGACCACGACATATTATGTGACTCCATTTGCCCCAATAATATCATTCATGTAAACATCAAAGTTATACGCGTCCCTTTCCACGTCGTCTTATTACTCCCCGTGCGAGTGGGCAACCCTCCCGCCAGCGGTACAATCATCGGACTATACGGGAGTGAGCGGTGGGCGGGACGAATCGTCACGTGGCGTTGGTGTGCCAGTACCACTCTGCCCTATCTGCTTCGTTACACGCGGTAGGATCGCGATACCCGCGTGATTGCGTGTGAAGCCTACGGATTGGGGAAGGATTACTTCATTTGTGTCCTCTTTATTGAACTCGCGGGCGGGAGCGGGTGGTGGTGGGCGGCGGGCTCACAGCTGCAGCAGGGCGACCGCTGTACACTCCCAATCAAGAGTGTCCAGCAAGCTGTGCGACTCGAGTGTGATGCACAGCTGCTGTGGACATTAGGACACTGTGCGCCTTGAAATGCGGCGCTGTCCTTATTGAGCATAGTAGTAACCCGCACGAAACAAAAGTATATCGCCACAAAGGCCTCTCATGGCGCCTGGTAGGTAGGCAACTTCTTCCCTTCAGAGCATGCGTGTACTGCGGGCTGGCCTATCCCAATTAGCGCAGGCGTCAAGCTCGGATATTTTCCTACAGAACCTGAGAAAAACGGACGATCCCGAAATCAAGACAATCCAATAAATGATGATTCACGCTGGAAGTGCGAGCGAGACACGACTTCGGCGGAGGCGGACGGCGCCTGCGGGGCCGGGGATAGGCCAACAAGCGTACAGCTGGGCGCGCGGGCGGACTACCTCTTAGGCATCTGCCCGCTCCTACCGCATCAAGACGGGCAAGTTCACAAAACAGCAAGTAAAAGCGAAGTTTCCAACGTTTGAAGGCACGATAATATTCTGAAGTTTTTGTCTTACGATATTTAGTTGCATGAAAATTTGACTGAATATCTCTGACAGTTTTAAACCTAGTACGATCATTTGGTCATATATAAATTGCGCGTATATCGTATATTTGTATACGTGATAACACATTTGACTATGACAATACATTTTTCATATTCTGTACGGAGGATGAGTTCGACTTATTATCGGTTTCTGACCGGCGTGAGGCGTGGAAAAGCGCGTTTCCAGAGCCTTCTTTGTGGTTACTTTTGCAAACTCGGGGATCTTACGCCAACAGAAGAGAAAAAGGGGGGGATGGAGTGCGCTGGCCACCTGAGCACCCTCTCCATCCGGTACACTACAGAGTAGGGAGGGCTGGAGCCCTCCCTACTCAACCCACCCGTATACCCCCCCCTCCCCACATACAATTTTCGCTCGGCGCTCGCCTCCGTGGCGTATGCCAAGGGCGAACCGCGTCGAGCCGACAGGCGAAATGTCACCCCCCCCCCCTCCTTCTCTCCCGCTGCTCGGACGCGCATGAGCGGATTTGAACGCCCGTGTCTCCGCGAGGGCTGGGGCGCTCGTTATCTAGAAGATTACCCCTTACATCCCTGTTACCCCTACACTCTCAGGCCTGTGCACAAATTCAAATTTTTCTTTCTGAGTGTCGCTTGGACCGCGTACTTATTCTGCAGGTTTTTTGAGAAGTCAAAGTTACCCGTAAAAGTACCAAGGAGGCCCCCCTTCCCCCCGGTCATCAATAGCTAGCCACGAGAGGCAAACGTCCAAATCGTCGGATTTGTTCTTTCCCTGTTTGCGCTTGCAAATAGACTGGACTATGACTATACCCTTTTAAAATATGGACGTGCTGCCGCAACGGGACCGACGCCACCAGCGCCGCAGCTGGTCACGACCACCAGCGCGATGGCGGTCAGCCTGGCGGTCAGCCTGGCGGTCAGCCTGGCGGTGCGTCCCACCACATAAGTCCGCCCCTGAGTGCGGGGCGGCTATTGATCTATTGATTGTCGCCATCAGGTCAACAGGAACGCGCGACGTGATAAACTCGGAGACGAAACTCGAGGCCTCTGAACGCACCTGTTTGTGTGCTCGGCCAGCGCACTCACACACACAAACACCCTCCCCCCCCCCCCTCCCCCCCCCCCACACACACACACACGCGCGCACGCACGCACGGACACGCGCGCGAGATGTAAATACTCCCTGTGGTCATTGCGTTGCGGTCACTATGGTAACACACGTCAGCCACGACGTTCCGTCCAATATATTTACGGTGTAGTGGCCGAGGACGCGTGCCCAGAGGTCCTGGTCGAACATCAGCTTCTCCAGGACGCCCGCGCGCTGCTGCGGGTCCTTGGGGAGGAGCTGGTCGTCGTCGGCGCCGTACTTGTCCACGAGGTAGCACATGATGGCTCGGCTGGGGGGGCAGAATTGCGGAATTGAGAGTGAGCTCAGGCAGCGTACTCTCTGAATTTAGTGGGAAAATTTTATTCCTGAAAGAGCCACGTTTTCGTGCACATCCAGAGAAGGATGCAATATTTGTCCAAATTTTGAAACAAAATTGCATCCTTTGCGGATATGTGCACAAAAACGTTGCTTTCTTACGAACAAAAATTGTCTCTTTGCATTTAGAGTGTAAGAGTGACATTGTGAGCGATCATAGGCCATGTAAGGCGAGGACACTTTGTGAAAAAGGAAAGAATAATATCCGAAAGCGGGAAACAATAGCGCGAGGGGCGGAGAGGGACGTAGGGCAAGAGGACCGGTAGGAAGGCGGCGCTTTTCCGGTTTCTTTTCATTCCCTTCTTCTTATCGCCAATCCTTCAATGACTTGTGGGAAGGTGTCTAAAGTGGACAAACCTTTCAGATAAGTAGAAACCGTCATCGTCCAGAACCGGGATGGTGTGACGGGGGTTCATCTATGCATGCAGAAGTATTGTTAGCATTAGAGCGGATTCACACAAAAATGTACAGTCGCATTCTTTAACGTTAATAGTACCTCCAAGTACTCGGGCGTGCGGTTCTCGCCCGCCATGATGTTGACGACCCTCAGCTCCAGGTCGACGCCGACGGCCTTGCCAGCCAGGAGGGCGGCCCTGCATGGTGGGCTTCCTTTGAACCCGTGGAGCACCGGCATCTAGAGCAGCAGGGCAGTAGAGGGACGGCAAAGTAGGGCGTTATTGTGCTTGATCTCCCTTGGAGGCAGTTTGGTTGAAGGTGGGGCGGAGGGGTCAGATTACACCTCCAGGTGCTGGTCGTACTGCAGATCTGGTGTTCCGGCACCGGCAGGTGGCTCCTTCAGGCCGGTGAGAAGGCTGGCACCTACCTTTGGACACGTTCCTGGTGCTAAGCCGGGTGTAGGCCTGGTCTCGGCGTGCTGCTTGCTCGGAGGACGACGGCTGGGTGACTGGGGCGCGCGCCCCCCTGGGCCCGGCCAGGCCGTCAGGGCCGCCCGCCCGCCCGCGGGACGCCGGCGCGGCGCCTTTCCGCGGCCAACCCCTGGCGCCACGTCGAGCCCTGCCACGCCCCGCCACGCCCCCATCCCCTCCTGCAGAGCGCTTGACTAGCAACAGGACGGTCGGCCTGCCTACCTCGTCATTTCTCTTCTATGTCTGTATCCCCCCCCCTCCACCTTGAGGAGGGTCATTAGACATAAACTCCCAGATTTCCCGACCTCCGAACCCATCAGTAGATGCACTACCGCAGATTTCAGTATTTTGTCTGCAAAAATAAACAAAAATACTGAACTTTTGTCAGAAGACAGAAAATCCGGGTGTTCTCTAATGGCCCTCCGGGATGGCTGCAGAATCCTGATCTTCCTCGGGTCATCTGAGAGGCAGTGAGTGGCGACTTTTCTTAACAGCGGGATTTATTTTCAGCCTGGATACTTATGAAGAATCAATGGCCTACTGGGGTAAAACGAATCGACCCCGCTTCTGTGACGGCCTTCGGGCCGGCTGTTTCTTGTTCAGTGACGTGTCCCATATATCGCCCAGATAGGGCGACATGATTTCTTCTGCATCGCTCAATGAGATTGAATTGACTGCATCCGTATCACTAAAACATTGCTGATTTAGAGTCAAATCGGCCAATATCACTCTTAAAGAGTCATACGAACGGCCGTGAAAGTATGGATGTTAAGGAGCGATATAATATCACTTTCGCAGGAGGATATAACAATTAAAATGATATCGCTCGCTCGGCTCGCTCCGTTCCTCTTTCGAGTCGGTGTGAGCGGGCCCAGCGGGCGGCGGCGGGCGGCGTGCCGAGGCCCGGACTTGACGCCGACAGCGCTTTTCCAACTGCCGTCCGTACGCCATCATCGATTCGGTCGGCTGGGGTTGCATGCCGGCTTGGTGCTGGCGCGCGCCACGCAAAGCGAACGGGCGGGAAAATGTGCCGTCACGAGTTTTACTACTTCGATCATCTCCGCCATGATGGGACGCGCTTGTGGGTGACAACGTGTGGTGGCCTCGGATCGGGCATCATCGGGCAAGGACGACCCTAACGCATACAACCTGGACGGCGCCTGCCCCCCCCCCTCCCCTTACACTCACAAGTAGTGTGAGTTTATGAAGGGGAGATTCTTGGGTGCCCTTGTCACGCGGGGTGAGTCGCGCTGCCCCAGTCCGGCACCTCCCTCACCTTTTCCTACCGCCGCCGGGGGCCTCGACCCGGAGGCCTTGGCCGAATCGGGCGCAGGAAATTAGGTGTTGTACCGACAGACGGCCGGGCGGACGGCCGACTCCAATCTATATTTCGCGCGATGTGGCGTGGCGTGGCGTAGAGAGGCAGAGGAGTGGCAGGTGTTCCACCATTCGCCAGAGCACCATCAGGGCAGGCGAGACGGGATTTCTATCGGTGGTAACAGGCCGTCGTACCTCGACGTACCTGACCCTCGCAAACACATACCACCTCTGTCTCCCTCTGTCAGTCTCTGTCTGTCTATCTTTGTCTCTGTCTGTGTGTCTGTATGTCTGTCTCTTCTCTCTCTCTCTCTCTCTCTCTCTCTCTCTCTCTCTCTCTCTCTCTCTCTCTCTCT